TAAAAGTTTCGAACAAAATATCCTGCACAGATTCCAAGGAATCTTAATCCGAAAATTAGCATAAGACTCTTTACGATGTAAACTTTCAAAACGTCGAAATTCGTGTCTTTTTAGCTCTACTTTCATAATCTGCAGGATTTTTTTCGTAACCGTTACACCATTCTATAGAGGGTATATTAACTTTATCATTCCGTTTGTAACTCCTCGAAATATTCATAATAGACCCTACAATGTATATATATTCTGGATCAGCGTAAAATTCTAAGACGATGTAACGATATCCGTCTTTCTTTTGGAATCACGCTACCTTTCGAACGAATTGAGAAGATGGCTAAAATTTTGCATACATGCATAGTTTACCAGTAGGCAGGTTAAGTTCGTAAATGGGCCATGCCGGTTCACGTTTTTATATAGCCCCCATATAACGGTACTCTCCGATATTGACGATTTCAGCAACATTATTCACCGTAATAGTTTTAAATTTCGTACTAAAAGATCCCAATGGGTACTACAGTCTATGCAACATTATTTACCGTAACTGTAACAAATTTCGTATTTGAAGTTCGTAATGGGCACTATAGCCGAGAACAACAAATTTCGTATGCCACGTCTTCGTATAGTCCCCATATAATGGTTTTCATTTAAACGGTTTTTTTTTGACTTTTTTAATTTCCTTCGAAATGGCAAAGGGTATTAAAAGCCCGAACTTAGCTGTTTTTTACTTGTTTTTTTTTTTTGTGTTGCACAGTGTTGGGACTTAGCAGTAAAAGGTTATTTTCTATTGAAGAGCTCGCCTAGATACAACTCACAATGTATTAGTATGTGTGTGTTTGTTAAAAAATTGGATGCACAACAAAATAAAATTCCTTAACTATTGCAAATTCCAGCAAAGAATATTACCAGCAACTACAAATCCTCGTGGAAATAATTTTTACATGCCATTTTTCTCAATAAAGACAACAAAAGTTGCGACACTGTTGTTGTCACGGGGGAAAATAACATAACAACAGCAAAGTATTTTTTAATAAAATTCCCAAAGATTGATAAATCAAAACAACAAAAGCTGATTTAACAGGAAAAATGAATTGCAAAGAAACAACACACAGCGAAAAAATGAAGAAAAATTGTCTGTCGGTGTCATTTTGGTGGCAACATTCCAGACAAGTGGGAAATGAGGAGAACGGCGGCGGGACAGCTAAATCTGACAAGTGGCAATTTTTTGTAGTAGTTCTGAAGAAGAACTTGTTGGCAATGGCCATGAATATTGGCGCTTTTTGGGTGGCACTTAAAGCGACAACAAGATGTAAGCAGCCGCTGATGCCAAAGAAGCATCAGCATCATTGCACGGAAATCATGGTTAACTTATTTTTGCTGTTAACTGTTTGGATTCCCATCAAGCTGGGTGTAAACCCATAGATGATGGCCACTGCCTTTGTGTTTTTTGAATACAATGCAAAACCTTTCCCGCCAAAAAGGATCCCATTAAAGAGATTTCCTCTTTGGAGTATCCATGGCGGGCGGTACTGATAATACTCTCAATGGCAGTTGGTTGTTGTTCTTGTCGTGACTAAAGCTTTAACTAACTACTGTTGTTTCTTTTCATAGTTTCATGGTAAAGTGCTATACCTAGTTGCAGCGATAAACGTTGACATTCATGTTTAAGACAAAACAACAACACCACTGCTATTGCAATCGAAGAAGAACACCAGGAAAGAACATTACCCCAGCACCATCAAGAACAATAACATCAGCAACAACAACAAGAACCACGGCAATGTCTGGGCCAATGACATCTGTGCAAGTGATAAATGATAATTGCCGCCTTGCAACAATGAAAACAAAAAAAAACACAAAACAACTAGCTTCAGAGTGGCAGCAACAACACCGCCATTCATGTAAGGGAGACTAGAAAAACGTGCCACATTAAACAGCCAAGAGTCAAGCTTCATGTTACTTTTTTGTTGTTGTTGTTTGGTTTTATTAATAAATGACCCAAGTCATTGTAATGACAGATAATAATATACGGAAGGTCTCATTATTCATGGTTTGACCTCCCATTAAGAAGGAATGAACGATCGAAAATACGAAATCACATGAATGGGATATTTAGTTGGTAGAAACATGAAGCATCGTTTAAGTGGCAAATTGATGTTGGAAGATTTCTACCGAAACGCTTTGCTGTGTTTAATCCGGTGGTTTTGTTTGGAAGAATCACGGAAATGTAAATAATGTGTCAAAGAACATGTGAATGCACCACTCACACACACAGATGGGAGGTGTGTTATAATGATAGAGATCCAAAAGGATAACAATTCTTTGCAGCTTTAAAAACAAATGGAAGCGGATAAAATAATTGAGTACAATCTTTAAGACTCGCCTAAAGGTATGCACCATAAAGCATATTGACATTTAATAATAATTAGCTATACAACAAAGAAGCTGACGAAATTCCTTACGTTTTGTAAACGAATCTCTTTTATATAAGGCGTGGATGTGCCAATTGTATCACTGTGATGTTTTTTTCATTTTTTTTTTGTAACGAAAAGTTCAAATAATAAAAAAGGACATGTGGCGCCTAAAAGCCTACACCACACACTAATGGGCGGATTTTAATAATTTTAGCGAAAATATTCTTGGGACCCCAAACATTTTGGCCGCAGACCTTGGACATTCCAATGGGATACAGCACCATCGCACTCAGCACGCGCCACCCAAGAATGGTTACAAAATGAGGTTCCTCGCTTCATTTCCAATCCGTTGGACTATTGTGTCTGGAGTATTTTGGAAAGCAAGGTTGGCACTAGTCAAGCAAGCGCTTCGCTGGGAATGGGCGAAAATACCGCAGAGCAACATTCGGGCAGCGTGTGACCGTTTCATTGGCCGTTTGAAGGCCATGACTCGCGCCAAAGGTGACCAATTCGAACAAATCTAAAATTATTCTAAAATGTGATTCTATATTCGACATGTTTTGACTTCATTCAATAAAAATGTAAAAATTATGGCGTTTGACTTTGTTGCTGTTTTTTTATCTCACCCTGTATAACGCGATGCTTTTGGGAGAATCATTGAAAATGTAAATAACGAGTTAGGCAACATGTGTTGCCTAAAAGTATGCACCACACACGCGATGATAAAATGTTACAGGGATTTTTTAAGAACGAAACATATTGCAAAATGAGTAACTGATTAAAATATATAGGGAAATCTTAAAAGTATATATTTATATATATATATATATATATATATATATATATATATATATATATATATATATATATATATATATCAAATGTAGAATTAACCTTTAACTGAGAGAGTTATAGTATGGTTACATTGAGGATTTTTACCAGGTTTACCTCCATTATAAGAATGTATTTAACGAGTAAGCAATGTTTATACTCCACTATTTGATATTAAAAATAAGTTCCATAAGTTCAAGTTTTCATATAGTCTTTATATAACTGTACCTCTTGATTTTCGATTCTAACTTTTACGCCATAATACTTTGGGCTCTTAATAGATTGAATCTATTATGGCAAAACACGTAAAAAACATTAAGTTCGGCCGGGTTAAACTTTTAATACCCTCCACCTTAGGGTACAGGAAACATTAGAAGAAATGTGACAAAAACCATCAAATTACCGAATATCGGGAGGTACCGTTATATGGGGGCTATACCAAAACGTGGACCTAAAAGTACAATGACTCGCCACACGAACTGGGACCCATTATGACCCACAAATACCAATTTTTAGACAAATCCGTGAAAATATGTGGCAAAAGCCATCAAAATACCGAATATCGGGAGGTACAGTTATATGGGGGCTATACCAAATCATGGACCCATACATGCAAGGTTTCGCCACCGGAGCTGGAACCCATTATGACCAAAAAATACCAATTTATAGAGAAATCCGAAAAAAAGTGGCAAAAATAATCAAAATACCGAATATCGGGAGGTACCTTTATATGGGGGCTATACCAAAACGTGGACCTATACATGCAATGTTTTGCTACACGCACAGGGACCCGTTATGACCTACAAATATCAATTTTCAGACAAATCCGTGAAAAAATGTGGCATAAATCATCAAAACACCGAATATCGGGAGGTACCATTGTATGGGGACTATACCAGAACGTGAACCGATATATCTCATTTTCAATACCAACCATCCTAGACACAATACAAATTGCTCTGCTAAATTTTGGCGCTCTACGTCAAATAATGTGGGCTGTATCGTGATTTCAACAGACAGACAGACGGACATCGTTAAATCGACAGAATTTATGCTGATTATGAATATATATACTTTATGGAGTCTACGACGAATATTTAAGAATGTTACAAACGGAAAGTACCTTAGGAAAGTACCTTAGAAAGTACCTTAGAGGCCTTTCATTTGTCCCTAAGTCTTCATTTTCATACTCAGGTTTTTAAAGTAGTAGTTTCAACCTTATTTTATATACTCTGTACACCCAGAGAAAAAATGACAACATCCGTGTATGAAATGACCACATCCGTGTATGATAGTGTATCAACCACGTTTGGTGTCAAAATGAGCACGCTGTTGTCATTTTGACACCGAGATTTTGGCAACGATTTCAACAACAGATGTGCATGAAATGAGCACATACGTGGTCATTTCGAGCACGCCCCGTTGTCAGATTGTCAACGCTTCGTTGTCAGATCGTCAACGCTTCGTTGTCAGATTGTCAACGCTCCGTTGTCGGATTGTCAACGCCCGTTGTCAGATTGAAATCAATGGTGGTCATTTTTTGATATCCGTTCCTTTTCCATTTTATACCCTTAGTAGAAGAAACGACATTTTTTGAAAAGTATTTTATTGAACGAAACCAATTACATAAATTCAATATAAATACATATTTGATTTAACAAAACAATTCGAATTACATATATTCAATGTATAGAAACAAATTAAATTAACTTAAATCTGAAATAAACTTTTCCATATTTTAAAGAAAGTGCATGAAAAATTTTAAAACATGTATCTAAACATTCGAGGAACGATTGAAATTTTAACAAATTGTGGTTAAAAAAAACATAAAAACCTTTTATATTGAAATCGGACAAACCCTCCACAATTATAAATGGCTGTATAGTTAATCCAGCATTGTAATACTTTTCAGTGACTGTATCAATTTGCCTTTTATAATCGTTAATTGTCGGTAGTCGCAGTACGAAACTTTCCTGCGAATCAGCTATTGTTACTTTTTTTCGTAATTTACCGTTTCCACATTTAAACCTAGCAGGTGATGGTAAAACTGAATTCAACAGTATTGCGTATATATAATCTTGAGCATCTGCAACCGAAATATAAAATAAATATTACTTTTAATGTTTATGATAAATCAGGAATTAAAATTTACCTATGCTGCTTGCCGTCAAAACATTTGCGAAGAGTTGTTTGCAATGTTCGTTATGAATATTTTTCCCATAATAATTGTAAATTTTTTTCTTAAATTGGTCCCATTTAGAAAGTAGAAGATTGCCTTTCTGTGGATACATAATATCGAAATCAATGTTGACCTAAAACGAAACATTAGTATCCATATACAAATAAATAGCTCATGGCTACTTACCAATTCTGAAGCTCTTGCATCGGACAACTTCGTCCATTCAAGGAGAAATGTATGGCTACTTAAATTTTTTATATCTCTTTGCCGTATGTTAAAAGATCTTTTCCATTTTTCGCAGATCGATCCCCAATCATTACATTCTCTTAGTAAGGAAGCTTTCAATGAATTTTCAACTGATTCATCAATTTCGGGAACATCTTTGTTACAAAAATTAGGAGATGTGTGAGTTGCTGCTTTGCTTGTGCTAGGCTCGGAAATCAAAAGCTTTATTCTTTTGGACTTCTTGTTTCTATACTTGGCATAAAGTTTTCCGCTTGCGTTGTTCTTTCCTTTTCTTGAAATGTAATAATAATCCTAAAAATAAAGACATATTATAAGTTAAGAAACTACATAATCAGATACGTTGTTTATATTGTTAATCTTACCCTCATTTCGTTTTCAAGAGGAAAAACGGAACAAATTTCATCCAATATGCGCATATAGTCTTGAGTGTAAAGAGTAACATTGTTGGTTAAAATATCTTCAATAATTATATTAATTATATCATCTCTTTGCTCGTCACTTAATTTCTTATTAACGCTACTACATTCAAGCGCTAGTTTCCCCTTCGAGGTATGTGTTAACAATTCCGTTAGATCCTATATTAAATAAAAAAACTACATTAACTATGCTTACACAAATATTACTCTTACCTTACCTCTGACAAAATTCCTTTGGCTTTTGAGCAGTTCGAACCTGTAGTGTCGGGAGTACCAGGAGTACTTGCAGGTGTCTCGTTGCGTTTCCACCATTCACCTATTTTAGATGGAACTGACATAGTTTCGTCATCAATCCCGAGCTATTGTTATGACAATATTAATACTGAGTTCAACTCTGTAAAACAAATAATACGTACCTTTCGTTTTTTCCAAGCAAAGAGCTTTTCTCTGAATTCAACACGCAGTCCCAATGGTGGCACTGCTTCCTTTAAATCTTCTTTTTTCAAGTACTGCAAGCTGCGAAATGTTACATGTGATGCTAAAAGAACAAAAAAGAAAATTCTTTGTTAATTACACTGATTAACTGAAAAATTCATTTTTATTTACTTACCTTTTAATTGTTCAAAAAGCGACTCCATATTTATTCCTTTTAAGAACTCCCTTAACATATAATCGTCCTCATTGTTTTCCGCATCTTGACTGCTGCAATGGTTTGTATCGCGAACCACAACAATATTGCCATCGATTTCTAACAACTCACCAATGATATTTTGAGGATCTTGCGAATTATTATTCATTTTCAATAAATTTTTTGCACAATGCGTCCTTTCTCTTTCAATAACACGGAAAAAATGGTAAATATGCAGCCGATTGCACACGAGTAAAAAAAATGACAACGGTGGTGCATGATTCATACACGGTAGTTGCTAAAATGGCAACGATCGTGTACGATTCATGCACGTCGGTGTACAAAGTAACAACGGTGGTGCATCATTATGCAGGTGGTGGTGCATAATTCATACACGACCGGTGTCATATTGACAACGACCGTGTGTGAATCATGCACCACCGTTGTCATTTTTTACTCGTGTGTAATCGGCTGCAATTACCAATATTACAAATGGACAAATTAAGCACGGCTGTTGTTGGTACCGAAAGTTGACCACGTCTCGGTGTCAATTTGAGCACGTTCGTGCACAATTCACCAACAGCCGTTGTTGAAAAATATAACAACGGGTCGTTGCGAAAATGACAACATACGTGCTTGATTTCGCAACGGGATTTTTCCCTCAGTGTAGTTGTTTATTGATATACTTTTAAACTTTATTGTACAATACATTGCATTTCCCGCTCTCCTACTCTTAATTTATCTGTTAAACCCTTCTGAACCAAAGTAATATTCCACCATTTTCTGATAGATAAATGTTAAATTGATCTTAAAGACGATTTTAAAGAATTCTCCAATATTTATATTTACAACCGATCCATTAAGGCCTGGAATCTGAGACAATTTGTATCTTAGCCAGGTAAACTACTTAATCTCTGTTGAAATCATAGGATTTCCTGCACTAGTCTACAGAAAGGACAAAAAAAAGGTTTCCTAAGTACGTAGATAAAAAGATCTAAAAATATCCAACCTAAATAAATTTATAATTATTTATTCACACAATGTGTCATTCACATGCAACACGGTTAACATACATACGTCCAAATTCAATCCATCGTCTTGGAAAAACATAATTCAATTTCCAATTCAAATTTTTAAACAAACCTTAAAAATACTACGATTTTCATAAACAAAACATAAAACTGAAATCAAAGAGGGGGTGTACTGTGGTGGCGCATGGAGACACCAAGCCCACAGAGTTCCCTGCCCCAGCTTTGGAAACGCAATTTAGAACAAGATGTTACCCTTAAAACTTTGTCATGGTTGATATTGATGTCGTTTTGGCTTCTCAAATGAACGGGTGTGGGCGTGTGAATCATATGCTAAATTTTTTATGGAAGAAACCATAGACAATCATTTTCCAGCAACACTGGCTTTTGATGAGTGCAACACGACGACGACGAGCCCCAAAAAAAGCTAATTTGGAAGTATTGATTTTTCTGCTTCTGTTCGTTCAGCTGCTGCCTGTACATGGCAAATGTAATTTTAATGGCTGTTAATTCGAGAGAACGAACCCTAGCCGTATGTCTTCCAGTAGCATGACACATTCCCAACGCCCCCCCCCCCCCCACACACACACATAAGTTGTAAACCAAAATAAAGAAAATAAGAACCAAAACAAAAAACCCACTAATATACAAGCATAGTTTGTGTGTGCGCAGAGAAGCGGAAAAGGAAGGAAGGAAGCTCTGTAAACAAAAGCGTCTCATTGTCTGCTGTCCTTGATGATTGTTGTTGGGTTTCAGTCATGCTATTCCGGACAAATGTTGCAATCGTTATTTACCCTGGTTTAGTTTTATGTTTAGGGGCTTTTTGATTCTTTTTTTTTTTTTCTTAACAAAACAAAGCTCATGTTCTTAACGTGCACTCATAACCTTATATAATTACTTAACAATAGGGCGAAAAGGGGCTTGGTATGGCAATGTTGGTTACAGAAATTTAATTATTAAATACATAAACTAAGGAAAGGCTCTGCTGCCTTGTTATTTGAGATTACCGGCCGGAATAAATTATATAACTAGGATATGCTAGTTTTTTTATTTATAAAAAAATAAGTACAGAGCACATAAAATTTCTCCTCAGAAAAACTGGTAAAAGTACAAGTATCTTACCTGTTGAAGGACCTAAATACAAATATAATAGAATAATTCAACTTCAAACTATGTTTAATAGGTCAATGATTTTGCCTAAAAGTATGCATCATACTTAGAATATCAAATATATAGTTTTTAAAAAAAAAATCGTTCCCATAATTGAAAATAATAGACCTGGATATGTCCTTATAAAGCAACAGTTTGAACAATCAACCCACCTACCCCCTTAATGATTCTAATCGAATCTAGATCTGTAATAACAATTGCCTACATATTTAGTTGATAGAATCTAAATTAGAATCGAATGCAACACCAACTTATCGCCCATTAGGCTGTTATTTATTCTCGACCATCCACCACAATTAGAAAATGTTAGCCAGCAGATTGTGGTAGGAGGTGAAAAAAAAAAAACAAATACGTGACAATACCATTTAAGCCAGCTAACAAATGACACTGACGGTGTCACCCTGTCCGACCTCAAGTTACGAGTGTTTAGTTTACTGATTAGCGTAACACCGACAACGGCTACAACTACAATTTGGTCGGTGGAATGCAATTAGAAAACCAAAAACAAAAAAAGCTTAGGACAACACTAAAAACAAGCAGTTAATGAAAATAGATTACCCCATATAAAAGAAAGAATCCTGAAGCAACCAACAGGTTTAATGAAAAAATGGGAAAATATTCTATCTTCGACTTTTTTTGGAATCCCCAGTAACTGAGGACGAATTTTTTCTATAAAAAAACTATGATAAATGAAGACGAATTTTTTCTATAGAAAAAATCCTCTGTAACTGAGGGACGAATTTTGTTTATAGAAAGAAATCTGCATTTTTTCTGTAGAGGACGAATTTTGTCTATAGAAAAAAATCTTCACTAACCCAGAACCATATTTTTTCTATAGAAAAAAAAGTGTAGTAACTGAGGACGAATCCGGAAAAATCCTCAGTAACTGAGGACGACTTTTTTCTATACAAACAAGTTAAAAATATCAGTCGGTTTGGTCGACAGATGTATACCCTGAGGCAATATTCGATTATTTAAATATATTTTGACTTCTGTTATGATTATTGAAATTGTCGACCCTCTATGGAGTAGGTTCCAAAGAAATTGCCCAATATTGTCCATTTCGTATCGGACCTAAATATACATATTCGACGGACCCATCTGGCAAGGCCATAACTTTTGACAGAGATGTCACATCGCTTAATGACATACCGCGTTTGAAGCATCAGTCCAAGCAGATTTTTACCATGAACCAACGGATTATTCGCATTGATTTGCATTTGTTCCCGTACAAAATTCAATTGACGCAAAGAATGTTGCCTGCGGACAAGCCTCGTCGATTGGAATGGGCCCAAAGGTCCGTCGAATATGGGCAACCCTGTATATGATATAAATATTGCGACGTGCCAGGATTCGACTAAATTGGTAACTTCTTTCACTTTATAGGAGATATGTGATAATTTTTAGAACTTGACTTGTTTCGCAAGTTATGACAGATAAAAGTATTGAATATTCCGACATTTTGTGGGTGAGGTACCAGAAGGGGTTCGCTGGCATATAGCATTTTCATAAACAGATCTTGTGTTAACAAAAATGTTTGTATGTGTGAAATTTGAAGAGAGTTGGATGCTTATTTCGCTTTCTTTGAGCGTTTTGTTTTTCAAAATCTTAAACCCTATGTGGGGCAGGTAGCAAAAGAAATGTGTGCGATCTCTGCCATCTTTATAAAAGATCTTGTGTTGATGGAAATATTGAGATGTACCACGTCTGGAATGGAATCGGATGTTGATTGCGCTTTTTATGAACTTCATAGATATACAAAATTTTTATTCGTTTGTGGGGGAGGTACTGGAAGGAGAGGACCGATATATCCCATCTTCACAACAAATCTTGCGTTAGCAAAAATGTTTGAATGTGTGAAATATAAAGAGAATCTGAGGCTTATTACGAATTTTATATACGTTTTGATTATTTACAACTTTTACTCTTAGTGGGGGAGGTACCAGAAGGAGTGGACCGATCTCTACCGTCTTTATAACAGATCCTGTGTTGAAAATATTCAGATGTGCCCAGTCTAAATGGAATCGAATGTTAATTTCGAGTTTTATGAGCTTAATGGGTATTCAAAATTTCGACTTTTTGTGGGGGAGGTACCAGAAGAAGTGGACCTATATATTCCGTCTTAATACCAAATCTAGTGGACCGATATATTCCATCTTAACACCAGATAAATATAAATGGGTAAATATAAATGAATATAAATATTAGGATGTGTGAAATTTGAAGATAATCGGACTCTTACATCACATTTTATGAGAGTTGTAATTATTCAAAATTTTGACCATTTGTGGGGGAGGTACTTGATGAAGTGGACCGATATTGTCCATTTTCACTCCTGACATAGCACTGATGCAAATATTAGGATTTGTAAAGTTGGAGCAAAATCGGATGATCCTTTCTCTTCCTGTAAAAATATATTTTTTGCAAAAAAATATATTTTTTGAAAATTTCTATCTTTTGTGGGGGAGGTACCAGATGGAGTGGGCCGATATTGCCCATCTCCGAACTCGATCTAAGTTTGACAAAAATATTACGACATACCAAATTTGGACCAAATCGGATACTGCCTTTCGAGAGCTATCGTGTGCACCGGCCAGACCGACGGACGGACGGATATCGCTAGATCGACTCCAAATGTTCTGAAACGGATTTGGTCCAAAGAGACCTAGGGTCTAAAACCGTTATTTACACTAGGTACGTTTTGGCCGTATCAAATGATATACACCCTCTCTAGCCATATGACTGAGGGTATAAAAAATCCTCAGTTACTGAGTTACAAAAGATTTTTTATACCCTCAGCCATATGGCTAGAGAGGGTATATATCATTTGATAGGTCAAAACGTGCCTAGTCGAAATAACGGTTTTAGACCCTAGGTCTCTTTGGACCAAACCCGTTTCAGGACATTTGGAGTCGATCTAGCGGTGTCCGTACGACGATTTTTTCAATAGAAAAAATCCTCAGCAACTGAGGATGAATTTTTTCTAAATTAATTATTTATAGAAAATAGTACTCTTTTATTAAGACTTTTAGTATAAACAAGAACTACTTTTCTTCTACAAATCCTTAATTAAATATTTCAATCAGCCCACACCTATTTATTGACATGACCAAACAAATGCAAAACGAGTCCACAACAAATGTTCTTCTTTCTTTGTAGTTCTTATCTTTTGTGTACATTTTCATGCAATTTATGGACATGATGATATTGGTAGTATACAAAACAAAAAAAAAGGTCTACAAAATGAAACTTGTAGACCAACCAACAACGGTCGAGTGCAAATATTTTCCATAATAGCCCACAACATTTTGTTGGCATGACCAATTTCAATGTTATTTTAAGTTTTAATTAACAGAAAACAAAAGTTAGAATGACAATTGTCAAAGCTTTCCATAGACACAACGAGATAAATGTCCAGACAAACGGCAAATGGATAAATGAACACCGGGAAAAGGAAATGTCAAACTC